TGATACAATATTTGTTTACTAGTCTAACTCTTGTTTGAAATTCTAGTCTTCTGATGAAGTTAGTAGAAATATATAATATTATAAAAGATTCAGAATTTATCGGAAGCCAAATATGTACTGTAAGGAGATGGTAGAAATATTTGATGCGATATTTTCACAGGCATCACCACAGCAGGCTGAAAGAACATACAGGAAAACTGCTATGAGAAATGAGCTGGCAAAACAACCGGGTTCTGTCGCCTTAGATGGTAAATGGTCTACCGCAGAAAGAAATAGCAACTTACTGCGGAAAAAAATATGCCTCGTCAGTTATGTATCGAAAGATACATGATCGCTTATCACGCATGGCACATATCTGACTGACTGTACGCTATTTTCGCTTTATTTCGAATGTTATTTTTTCAATATGTAAACTACTATAGACTTGATCTGTCGGTTCATCTTTATGAATATTATCCTTCTACAATGTACGGAATATACATTTGCTATTATGTATGTACTTAAAAACAGCAGGTGAACGGATGAGCTTGGGATATACTGGACTCAAATCGAGATATCAATGTTTTGATGAACAAGCTTCGCGGATTTTTTGTTTTGTGATGTCAACGAACATTAATTGTCACTATAGTGACGCCAGCGAATACCCGTTTTCACTTTCGTAATACTCATTGTAGTAGAGACTTTATAATCGCAGATACAACGATAGTACACCGTTGAATAATATAAAGAATAGCAGTCTGTATAGTAAGAGAGGGAGTAGAAATAGTTATCTGTGTATTAATAGAGGATAGAATAGAAATAGCGATCCGTATAGTATAGAGGGTAGACGAGAAATATCGATCAATTAGACGTCAAGCTAACTTTCATATATGTGTTTCCTCTATGGTCATGTGGTCTACATAATGGGATCGCCTGTGTCTGCTCGCCGGTGATCTATGTTCAAACTCAAGTGTCGGCAGAGACACTTTATTCCTATATAAGAGAAGGTGACATTTAAACCAATTTGTGACTGTATTTCGCATAGTTTAAAAGACATTCTTGATTGCTATTAGGCAATCAGTCATTTACTTGACTTTATCCTCTATTAATACACAGAGAACCATTTCTACTCTATCTGTTTCTATACGGGCCGCTATTCTCTATATTATTTCACTATACGGATTACTATTCAAACGAGTATTATCGAGCAAGTATTATTAATGCGAGTGCTATTTGAAGGTGCCTGATACTAGGATTGTTCAGCGGTGTACTATCATTGTATCTGCGATTATAAAGTCTCTACTACAATGAGTATTACGAAAGTGACAACGGGTATTCGAAGTAAAGCGAAAATAGCGTACAGTCAGTCAGTTATGTGCCATGCGTGATACACGATTAAGCGATCATGTATCTTTCGATACATAACTGACGAGACAGATTTTATTTTTTTTACCATAGTAGGTTGCTATTTTTTCTGCAGTAGACCAGTTACCATCTAAGGCTACAGAACCCGGTCTGTCCTGCTATTTACAAATAGCTGATGGGAAAAGAAAAACATTCATACTTTCCCCAAGTGTATTAGCACGTATGTGAATGTAATGGATTCGGATGGAATTCAATTCTCCGATTCCTCAATCCGAGCCGCTATCAATTACTCCACACTGTTTCCTTTATTTTCCCTATCAGAAAATATCGTATATAGCTTTTCGGAAGCCATCCTACTTTTCTTCTGATAAGTCATGAAATCAGAAAATTATAGCTAATCCCAAACATAGATAATATATAAGACGTGACAAATAGTAGTATACCTTCGGTGCCTTCTATTATAAGTGACACTGAGGTGATCTCAAGCTCGTGAGATATAGGCTAAGCTCTTCGCATTTAACACCACGTTAAATGACAAGCCCCATTCCTTACTCGGCTTTGCCACTCTCAGTGAGTAGGGAAGTTTGCTGACTTCAACTCTATGAAAGCTACCGGCCTGGATAAAATCACTTTGGTTGTTACTAAAAACCTTATCTGAAACTTCTAAATCCGGGCGAAGTTGTTCAACCGCTGCCTAAAAGAGAAACGTTATTCTAAGACTAGAGAAAGTGTCAGTCGTATACGTCTACAAAACAGCAACTGGCAGCTCATCTCCTTCATAATATTGCCTGATCGCCTCCCATCCCCGCTTAATTTTAAATGTTTTAAGTTTATAATCAACAGGGAAGTTGATGATCACCTGAATATTAAAACTTTTCTGAGCGACAAAGAGTATGTATTCGGTCTCTTCAGGTCCATTGCTGATGTCTTAACTATCGTTACGCATATAATTAGTAAAGCGATTGATAATCATCACGAGAGCGTTCGCCTTAGATATTTCGAAGTCCTTTGGAAGGTGTGACCTAGTGGGTTGCTATATTCAGCTTCTCAGCTATGACATCCCTGGAAGAATTTTCTCAGTTAACAAGTAATTCCTACAAAGTAAGTCGATGAAGGTCATCAATGAGATCCATGCAAGCGCCTCAACACTACAAGGCTCTCTCTTTGACCCTACCCACTTCCGGTTTATATCAACGATCTGACTGAGAACACTCTTAGGTCATTAGTTAATATATACGCAAGGGATACCAGAGGTAGACTTGAAAAATCTAGAAGTCCAGGACCTAGTAGCGCGTCGATCCTCTGAGCTAGCCGTCACAGTTTAATGTGAACAAGAATGTCTTGTATCGTTCGATGCTTCTAAAATCAAGCTATTAGCGCTTCGTCATCACGGATTAGGTTACTTATTATCCAGTTTTAATGTATAGTTGTACTTCTCCTTGCATTGAAACACTAATGGAACTTAATTTCTATCTGGATCTTTTTAGTGAAAAACATCTAATAGAAAAATCACTAAATATGCCGGGTAAATTATTGGTTTCTACCACCGCTGCTAAAAGTACATATCTGGGCTGGCGCTACGCAATCTTCATTGCCCAGCCATGGCAGAGTTCAAAAGCGTTTACGCGGCCTTGTGTGTGGTGAATTACTTTCCACCAAAAAACTCATTTCCCACAGGCGAAACCTTACTAAATCCTCTCTATATTTTCATGGCAAATGTTCAGACGAGATACAATCTTTAGTTTCTCCCAACTCCAACCATCCCAGTTAAGAGGGCCGCACCCCCTACATTGAGGCGAATCAGTATCATTCCCTTCGTGGTTACACTAGTTTAGCGCTTCAGAGATAGGATCGACTCATTCTCTTGGACTTTGTATTCGATTGGTAGGATTGAAATCCTGTCCAGACAGTTTCTTTCTCAGAACTGTAACATTTTGGAACAGACACCCGTGATAAAGCATCCCCGATAACAATGCTCTTAATTTCATCCTGTCTAGGGTAAACTTTTATCTAGCCTACATATTCTCATAAAGCGAATTCCTCCATATAACAACAATATCATTCAGTAGCCATCTGCCTTGAGTGGATTTTGTGATTTTTATTAAGTAGACAATACTAAAAAAAATAATTAGATTTCAGAAATGTATTTTAGAAGAGTCGCTATCAATAGCAGCTCAGATTGAGGAATCGGAGAGTCCAGTTGAAATTCCAGTCGAATCCATTACATTCACTAACGCGCTAATACCATTGGGAAAAGTATGCATCCTCTTCTCCCAAGATATGGGACAGACCCGGTTCTATAGCTTTAGATGGCATCTGCTCTACTGGAAAAAGAATTGACAACCTACTGCGGGGAAAAATCTGCCTCGTCAGTCATGTATCGAAAGATACATTATCGCTTAAGCGTGTATTATGCATGGCACATAACTGACTGATGTTAGAAAAAAATGAGTGTGAAACTGCTATGTAATAACAATTCCCAGTAAATGCTGGAAAATTTCCCCACATATGTGAAGTAAACACAAGGCAACAAGAAACGTGTTTCCTGGGATGATTCCTGATAATAGCACCGATAGAGCAGATGAGAAAAGAGGAGATTTTAAGGAAAAAAGAAAACAACAAGGACAAGTATACTTAGAAACAATTGAAATATATGGGACAAATATTGAGGAAATCGGCTTTGGGAATCCAGAAGCCATACTGAATTATTGCGAGGTAGAGGGAAACATCGAATGACCTATTTAATGAACTTGTGTAAATGGATTGTAGAACAAGGACCCAAAGTAATATTATGCAGACAAATATTGTTAAATAAAGAGTTAAAAAAAAAGTTTAAGGAAATTGTGGAACGCTAATAACACTTATTTTTTTAAGAATACGAAATGGAAACGAATGAGTATTCAACTTTTTTTACCAGAGTAAAAAAAAGGATTCATAGTGAAAGGAAAATTTTCTTCTCTCAATACAGACACAGTTTTTATTATATATCCTCGTAAACTTACACAGCTATTCATACATTATTGTTCTAATCGATTATTAATTCAGAAACCTTATATATAATATATATATATATATATATATATATATATATATATATATATATATATATATATATATATATATATATATATATATATATATATATATATATATATATATATATATATATATACACACACACACACACATATATATATATATATATGTGTGTGTGTGTGTGTGTGTGTGTGTGTGGAAGTATCATTTAATTCGAGTTTATTTGAGGAATGATTTTCCCTGATGTTTTTCGTCCTTACTTTTTATTGGCTTTTTATATAAATATTTTGTCGATTTTTAATATGTCCTAAGACCAAGATAGTTTTTATTCCATCGACTCCTGCAATTATTATTATATTTCCCTTTCATAATTATTTTTTCGTTATTTTTTTTTTCTTTCTTTATTACTCGAACTTTAGAGACATTTATCTACTGGACGACATTATTTATATCTTCATCCTCGTAGTTTATATGTATTTATGAGAAAAAACTGATTTTTGGCATTTGATTGCGTTTTGGATGTTTTATTTTTATGTCTTTGTGTTTTCTGTTTCTGGCTTGAGAATTTATGTTTGTCTCGCATTTACTTTTTGACGTCTGGATTTTTTCATTTTCCGGTAATGCTTTTTGTATTGGTTTCCTTCTTTTTTTTTTCTTTTTTTTTTAGTTTGTTTCATTCGTATTTATTTCCTTTTTTTCACTTTTTTTTCTCCCTTTATTTACGATTTATTTTCTTATACCGCTCTTTCTTTTGTTAGACTGTTTCTACTCTTTTTTGTTGCTCATCATTTCTAAGCTGTTCCTTCTGTCTCTCGTATATTTCTTTACACTTGTCTTTTTTCCTTTGTCTTTTTTTCATTTTCGTTTGGTTCTCTTTGTTTCTCTTCTTTCTTTTCATTTCTGGGATTCTTCATATATTCTTTTCTTCTTTTTTTCTTTTTTTCCGTTTTCCTTATACTTTATTTATTTTACATTCTTTCTTTCCTTCTTTTTTATTTTACTTCTGAAACTCGTCCGTTAGATATTTTTCTTTTTACTTTTTTCTATCGTTCTTATTACTCTTCTATCTATTTCATTTTCTCTTCCTTACGTTTATTTTACTTTCCTGTCGTTTTAGCATTACTTTACTTTATTTGTACTTCTTTTTTTTCTATCGATTTTCATCCATTTTCCTTTCTATCTTTTTTTAGTTATCTTTTCTTTGTAACAGATGTTTTATTCATATCTTTCTCCTTTTCGGGTTCATGCCTTCTTTTTCTTTTTTAATAAATTATCTCTCTGGATTATTCTGTTTTCACTTCTCTTTCTTTGTTCCTTTCTTAATTCTTTCTTCTTTTTTTTTACTTCTCTTTCTTTTTCGTAACGTTTGCTGGCTTCCTTCATGTCTTTATTCAATTCCCTTCCTTTTTTTTTCTTCCCTCCTTCCTACCTTCCTTCCTTCTTTGCTTTCTTTCTACCATGCTTACTCCCTATCTGTCTTTCTTCATCTATTTCTTTTTTTTTGCGTAATTTTATTTCTTAATTTAATTTCTATCTTGTTTCATGCTTCGTTTCTATTTTATTCTTTCATTCTTTCGGGCTTTCTTTCTCATACGTTCTTTTCATGTTTTTTTTTAATTTATTTCTTAATTTAACCCAGACTGATTTTCTTTTCTAATCATCAAATGACTCCATTCAAATTTTGTTTTTCCTGAAAAAATGAACCTCCAAAATGATGAAGAATGTCTTTGAAACCGACCAAACACTTCACGTATATGCATCGATAACTAACGCGAATGTGATTAAGTAAAAAATGTCATCATCGTTTACAACACTAATACTTTATCTAGTACTTTGAGTTTGGCTATCCTGAGGAACCAAACAAAACATATTCATGTCGGAAACATTCTCTGAAATGTGTCGTTTAGAAGGTGGCAACATAATCTTCTGTAAACTTTTCTGTCTCGCTAAAATAGTCCAATGAGATTTTAAGGCGGATTTCGTCAGGCTAAGGAAGACTGCGGGCCGTCAGCCGCTCGTTAGATTAGTTAAGAATTCATTGAAAAGTCCTCCTCCACATCGAAGAAATGGTATGCTAAGATATTAGGATTGTTTTCTTCTTTAGAATTTTGCTGGCATTATTAAACTTTAAACAATGACAAGCATTTTTAAAACTGTTCTTTTGAGTTTGGTTTTACTTTTTATTGGTGATTTACAAAAAAAAAAAAAAAAGAAATTAAACAAATCGTTAAATATAACATATGTTTGCCTTCCTTAAAATTACATATATTCCAGTGATGTTTTCAGCAAGTCTTTTATATATTTTTCCTCTCGCTTGAAATAAAAAAAAAATGCAAACAATTTTTGCTACATAATATACAACGAAGAGTATAAATATTAAAATTATATGAATATATATTCATATAAATACTCATGCCTCATTTCGATTTCTTGCAGGGTATTTTACGTTTCCTTCGAATTGATGCTCTTGGGTAAAGCAAGAAAAAATAGGGTAGACATGTCTTCCTAGATTCGTTTCTCAACTTGTATTGAGAGACAATTTCGAATTCAAAATCAGGATAGGCAGTAGAACGAGTCATGGTAATTCACCCTTGCCATAACTTTGGGTAAAAGGCTTTATGCAACACAAAAGTATTGTAAGAGAAAACCTTCGACAACAAGCAAGCAAAGTATTGTAGGTAGTGAACTGTTTTTGATACAGAAAAAGTTTGCCAGTGACATCTGGAGAAGACGGTACGGAATGGATTCTTTTACTCTGATAGAGAAAAATATTATGATGCTGTTCATTTTCCCCAACGCATTAGCTCCATTTTCTCTTTTCTATAAATGTAGGCAATTGTTCTAATGAACATTTTTCATTGATACCTCAATCGCATTAACTTAAGCGTTCTACTAGATTGGCAATTCGGTCTCGTCGTTTTACTATTGAAAAAAATAGATGTAACCGTAAGTTCTATTCAAATCGTTTTTTTCTCACATTTTTGCCTATAGCAATCTCTTTCGGTTTCTTAATTCTCGGCCACCTAAAACTATGTAAACATTAAGTGCAATGTCAATCGCTATGTTCTGTCTTCTTGAAGACAGTTCATTTATTGTCATTTCTCTTTGTCTCCTCATTCCCTCTCACTCACAATAAACAGCTGGTAGTTGTACCCTTATCACACATAGACACACACACACACACACATACATGCAAACACACACAGATACATACATATATATATATATATATATATATATGAAGAAATATAGTCTTAAGACATGCTATATTTATGGGATAAAGTGCTCAATATCAGAAATAGAGCGAATATAAATATAAAAGAAGTCATCACTTAAAGGCCACAATCTATTTCATGCTAGATGCGGCCTGACGATTGAATCTAGCATGAAACAGACTGTCGCCTCTAAGTGTTTAATTCTATGTTTACTTTAATATATATATATATATATATAATTATTTTTATAAAAAAAAAATTATTATTTATTTCCAACATCATCACTTGATAAGACACAGAGTGTGTTGAAACAAAATGGCTATTTTTGTAGTGATTTTATAACATACTTATGTTATAATTTTTTAAAAAAAAATAATTATATCTGTTCTACTTTGTATTGAGCACTCTTTTAAGAATAGTAATTGTTGGTTATTGGAATTCATTCCGTATATACCAATTATATACTTGGTATATATATATATATATATATATATATATATATATATATATATATATATATATATATATATATATATAAAGTGTGTTTCATTAAGATGGATTTTATATAAGGGTTTTTCATTAAGTCGGTTCGACCTCAGCAGTAAATAATCATAGTTATTGATGAATATTTACTTATTTCCCTATTGGAGTATGTTATTTAAGTCATGACAATTATGTGTGAAAACTAATATCGACCAAATGTCCACAAAATCTGAAAGAAAAAGAGAAAAAATCATTAGACGCTTAAACTTAATTCACATTTAAAATCAGTCCAAGTTATTTCGGCACTCGTTATATATGGAAGCACCACTAATCCTGATGTTCTGTGTGACCGTTCAGTCACAGAGAACTTTCGGTTAGCAAAGCTCGAATCACTGCTTTTAAACACACACTTTGGTCGATATTCCTCCATCTATCAGATGTGCTCTGAATTAAAGAAAACAAAAACCACATAAGGCAATTAAAATAACGTGGCTAAACGGTCATATCACGCCATGATTAATGGTGGTTCCGTATAGGATGTAGGTTAGATTTCTGTCGGAAGACACACGTTTTCTACGAAATTTCTCGTAAAATCAACTCGGTAAATGTAATTAATACTGTTTACTTCAAGAACACAACGTTTACTCAAATAAGTCTATCCATCAAAAATAAGGTAGAAACAGAAAATATATATAATATTTTCTATGGTATGCTGCCATTGTTTAAAGATCGGCGAAGGTGTGTGTTTAAAGCAGTAATTGAGCTTTGCTTAACGCGAAATATATATATATATATATATATATATATATATATATATGTGTGTGTGTAAGATTTAAGAAAGAGCAGATATTTTTTTATATATAGTACTAATATTAAAAAATGGAATTAATATTATAGAAAATCATTAATTAACTTTAAATTACAATATAAAATTTTTGTTGTTTTCTCCGATTTCAAAATTCCTTAGTAATTTTTTCTTCAATGGGATCTGTTTTCTTCTTTAAAAAAAAACTAGAATGGATTACCAGGAAAACTTCGAAATCGTGAAAAACAACACACATTTGATACTTTAAATTAAACTTAAATAATATTTGTTATAAACATTTTTATATATATATATATATATATATATATATATATATATATATATATATTATAGCAAGGAGTAAGCGGAATGTAAAGGACATAATTATGAAAACTAAGAACTAAAACAAACAACCGGTTTCGTCCCAGTATTCCTCAAGTTTGATACACTGGGATTATTTAACCATAAACTTAAAAACAAAAAAAAACCTTCAATGAGGGGGAAAGGGAAAAAAAGGGGAAAAAAAATTATGATAGAAAGAACTAGAGCCCAATCACATTCAAGCCCAACAAGCAATCTCTCTGCTTACAGGGAAACGGCCTGCGGGACTTGATGTAAATGGACTCAAGAACCTTCAAATGATATGCAGAGTGTGACTTCGCCAGAATGGAAAAACAGTCAACACTCAAACCAGCAACACATTCCCTGCTAGTTATAGCGTGTTCCGCTATAGATGACCCGGATGTATTCACTAGTTGGCTTTTGTTAGCGGCCGGATTTAAAAATTTGGGGGTAAATATTGTTTAATTCTAAAATCCAAACGCTGAGACGTTCTGCCTATGTAGTCACATCCGCAACCACATTTATATATATATATATATATATATATATATATATATATATATATATATATATATATATATATATATATTAAGTGGCGAGTTTGGACTCAGATGAATTGTTGACTGTAACGGCTCAGTAACAAAACCGTAATGTCACATATATTCGAACCAAATAACAACGTATCTACAACGTTAGAAGAGATTTACCCGTTAATAGTGGTGAAACAGGTATATGTCATGCGACAAAATAACCGGTTGACTTACTTACAGAGCGGATGTCTTTGCTTTGCCAATGCATAATTTAATTAACCGATTCACTTCGAAGTTTCATACACGTTCACGCGTTCTTTGTGTGGCAACTTATACGTACTTTTTTTCAAATCATTACTATTTTTCTACCTTTTGACGTTAGCTAGGTGACATTTTGTGGAGCACAAAGTGTTTTTAATTACTCCTCGACCCATAACACATATGTAGTTGCATTTCCTGTATCATTACCACAATTTTCACTCAACCATCGATTAAATTCCACTTCACTTCTTCCCAGCTTAAACAGGAAAAATAAATTTCAGTTTCATTTTATATTCAGACATGATTTATACCAAAGTAGCATTAGTACTAAGTCACACATAATTACAAAAGCCATATGCATGTTGATAAAGAAGTGGGTATATGTTAAAGACACTTTTAATATTTCCCTATGATTTTAAAATGATGACTCGTATAACAGTTTTATACTGGCTCTCATAAATATCTAACAGGTGTAGGAATTTTTATATGTAAAATTATGTGTATAAAGAAGAATAGAATATGGGCTTAATACTAATAATAAGATTTCGAAAGGAAAGAAAATGAATTTATTTTGTACTTAGATGAAAAGAAAAAAAATCTGCTGACAAAAGACTCCCGCTTGTTATCGCAATTATCTTCCTTCTGGCTACACGCTTTCCAGACATATTTAATCTGAAAAAGGTTAAATACAATAGTAATCGCTATATTACTCTTTTCTCATTCCATTCATTATTAATGTTCTTGTTTCTTATTCTTGTAACCACTTGTGTTTTAGTGGCTTTACTGCCTTGCATGGGGGTGATACCGATTAAAATAAGCCTATTTATGAAATTCTACTTTTAAATATTTCATACTCTGCGGTTCAGAATGTTCGCCAACGTGTGACAATTCATTCTCATAAGAAAAAAAAAACATCAAAAACACGAAACAAATAAATGCATGGATAAAAATTATTTTGTGTATTTATTTTCTACCCACTCTGAAGGATTTCTGTCTCT